AGAAAGGGGGGCAAAAAGGAAAAGGGGAGAGAAGGAGAATAGAATGCAGGAAAGAAGGATGAAGAGAATACAAGCTAACACCTGCTTGTTCTACACCTGTAGAAACGTTCATGTTAACAGCTTTTTTACCAAAAAGTGCACGGTACTTATGAATGCAAGATGTATTTAGTGGTAAATGCGGCTCAATATAGAACATTTGTGTATCTGGTAACACCTGAATCTAAACACCTGTAGGTCTGAGTGTGAGCGCGCTTGTGCATACAAGGTTTCTCCATAAAAATATGCAATAGTGAGTGTGAGGAGCCACAGACCTGCCTCCTGGACCCGGGACAGATACGGAGGAGATCCGAGCCATAGACATCCAAAGGCCCCCCAGAGCACAAGAACCCCAGGAGAACCACCGCCGGGACAACTGCAGCCCCCCCCCAGAGAAGAGCAGGGGAGAATCCCAGTGGAACCACCCAGCAGCCACAGTGCAGAAGCCCCAGGGAACTGCCGCGACGAGCCCACAGGCCCCGCCGGCAGTCGTCTACGCCCGAGCAGATCCCGCCATGGACCCAGAGCCCCGAGACCCCGGGACATATCACTCCCCAAGCAGAGGCCCGACTGAGCCCAGGTCTCCAGGCCCCGGCAAGCAGACACCAGGAGTGAGCCAGCACACACCAAAGCACCAAGCCCCAGATACCGAGAACCACAAGTGCACCGGTGGGCAGAGACACCAACCACCGGCAGATAATGTGGCGGGGAGGGAATAGGCACCACATTCGATGGGGGGGCTAAACTGATCCAGGAGAAGGAGCAGCCCAAGACCCAACCTGACACAAAAAACAGGCATACACAGTCACAATCACACCTCCCCCCCATGCATACACATAAAAACACTCACACCCAACGTAAAGACAAACAACAATGGATGTTGTACAGTCACTCACACTCCCCATACATACTCTATACTCCCAGGTCCAGGTGAAGAGCTTTGAACCTACAAAAGTCTGTCCAGTCAGGAGGCTGAACATGTTCAACTTTCATGGGAGACGTTCAAGGAGGAACCTTTGTTCCCTAAGAAAAACATGGAGGTCAGACTGAAGTTTCCCAGAGAGAACGTAGACAAAGACCAGGACTTCTGCATCAATTCTCTTCAGATGAGTCTAAAATGTAATTGTATGAACATCAGAACAGAGGACATGTTTGGGTTACACCAAATACATTCCAGAAACAGAACCTTAAACCACATGAAGAATGGAGGTGGAAGTTTCATGGTATGGGGGTGCTTTGCTGCAGCATTACCTGGTCAGCTCAGTATCACAGAATCCACCATGGATTCTACCGTGTATCAGAGGGAGCTTGAAAAGAAGTGGACCCTGAACCATGACAATGACCCAAAACATACCAGTAAATTCCCTGAGTAATGGCTGAGAACTAAGAAATGGAAAATCCTGGGCATAGTCAAAGTTTTGTAGGATGACTTGAAACAGACTAAACATGCAGGAAACTCCTCAAACATCTGACAGCTAAAGGTGGGGAGTGGAGCAAACTTCTTCAGACTAATGTCAGAGATGTTGGATGGAGACAAGAAGCTTCTACCTGAACTTATGTTGGGTCCAGCCATGGATTACAACATTTAAAGGCCAGATTGATTTTTCTGAAAATTTCGAAATAAATCACAGTAACCTATTCCCAGCACAGCCAATAACAGAAGGAGAGCGGACTTCCTGTGACATCACTGTTTGAATAAAAACCCCTCGTTCCAACAAACGGACCACTATCCATGCGGATTCCAGACAGGAACCGGACAGGAGAGGCACCAAAGAAGAAACTCTCCTACAATAAGTGCTAGTAGACTAACACCCAACTAAGGATGTGTTCTGTGTTGTGTTTTTAAAGTTAAGACAATCACAACACTTATCTCAGCTATAGGGGGTAAGACTAGCTGTCAGAGGGAAGGGTGTCCTAACTTTTTCCTCAGCTATAAAACTAAATTTTTGTTTATATCATTCGTTAAATGAGTAAAAGAAGATAAGATTAACACCAGTACTGGAACATTTCTTTATAAAGATCTGAACATTTAACAAAGTTTCCTCATTTTTCACATGACGGTATAACTAATAAAATAAAATAAAATAATTAAAGGTAAATAGAACAAAATACAACATAAAAAACAATGTGTGGAAAAAGCTGTATAAGATAAATTAGTAGAAAAAAAACTAAACTAAATTAATCCGTGCAGAGTTTGTGTGTTCCTCCCCAGACCAGGAGTCGAACCCAGGACCTTCTTGCTGCAAGCCAACAGTGCTACCAACTGCAACACCTACAGCCCTTTTATTGTAGCTTGCATTTATTTAGTTTAGTTTTGTTGTACTAATTTATCTTATTGAGCTGTTCTCCCTGTGCATACGTGGGTTATCTCCGGGTACTCCGGCTTCATCTCACAGTCCAAAAACATGACTGTTAGATTAATTGGTCTCTCTGATTGCCCTTAGGTGTGAATGAGTGAGTGCTTGGTTGTTTGTCCTGTATGTCTCTGTGTTACCCTGCGATGGACTGGCGACCTGTCCACCGTGGACCCATCTTGCCCATAGACTGCTGGAGATAGGCACCAGCTTCCCTGCGACCCTGAGGTCGACCCTGAGGTCTCCAAACACGCAGGAAGACCTTCTCACCTCAGACTAGCAGAAATATTAGTTCTGTTTTCTACTGAAAACCTCAAAAAGCTTTTATTCCCTCTGTATGCTCGCATCTTTCCAGCTGAAATATTTAGTATTAATTTCAGCAATTTATCTAGAAATGTCAAAGTCCAGTTCTAGTTCTGGTTCTGATCACAAGATGAAGGGTTTCTAAGAAGCCAGCGCTCACTCAGCTGTATAAGCCAGTGAATACATGGTGGGACATGTGGCCCTGTGTGAGTTCTTGTGCAGGAATCCTGAGTTGTGTTCAGCGTGCAGCGTCAACAGGACCTCTGAGAGGGTCAACCGCGGCGTGTGACGCTCTGAGGATGAAGAGAAACGCAGCGCTGCAGGCTAGCAGAGAGAACTAGAGAGAAAGACCGACGAGAGACGGAGGAGGAGAGAAGGAGATTGATGAGGGAGGTGTTTGGGGCTGCAGCAGGCACTGTTGTGGTTAAACTGGTCATCCAGCATCACAATAAAGCTGCAGTGAGGACAGAATACTGATGAGGAAGCAGAAAACGTCTCCTCCTCCCTCTCTACACGCCACACCTCTGCTTTACATCAAGATTTCCACTCCTTTTTTCTTCTATGTTTCCTGATTTTTTTCCATTTCTTTTTAACCTTTCCATCTCCAACTTTATACCCCTCTGCCTTTATATTCCCTAAATATCCCGTTCAGTCCATCTCCTACCCCTCTCATCCCATATCTTCTGGCCTCTCTGTGGTCCTCAGCTCGTTGATTAAATGGCAGCCTGGCGGCTGCTTGGGAAACTCGTGCCTCTGCAGTGTGGGGCGGCGAGGCGAGGACCAGGCAGTATATTAACGAGGATCCCACCGTTAACGAGACGTTTTTTAAAGTATGCATAAGAAGCTCTCGGCAGGCTGCAGAACAGAGAGTGTGTGTGTGTGTGTGTCACTGTTGACGACCTCGGCGGATCAGTAATGGGTTTAGTTTCTATCTGAGCCCTGAGGGTCTCAGCTTATCGACTCCTGAGTGACATGTTGGAGTCGTTGCATGTAAAGAACTCGCTGTGTGTCTGTGCATCTTTGCAAACTCAGTCAGATTATCTCAACAAAGCTCATTAAATTGCAAATGGTTTCTAATTGTCTGTTGGTATGTAAGAGGAAGCCAAAAAAATTTTAAATCTATAGGGAAAAACTAAGTACACCCTTGCTGCCTCCATGGGATTTAAGAAGGAAAGCAGCAGCCAGGTGCTTATTAGCAAATGCACTGAATCAATGGTCACCATCAGTGTGAGAATCTCTATAAAAGCAGGAGTTTTGGTGTTTTGCTTCTCAGGAGCATACAGAGGCCAACACCAAGATGGAAGGGCATCAGCAATGAGCTTAGAGAAGCAACTGCTACTCCGCAGCAGGGTTATAAGGCCATTTCCAAATAATCTAAAGTCCATCATTTCTGAGGTTGAAAGATTATTATTATAAGTGGAGAAACACGTAGTGTAACGTACAGTAGTGGAAGAGTGATGGTTTGGGCCTGTTTCATAACTACAGAACCTGCAGAACCAACCTCTCTGTTATAACCAATATTGGGAGTAACGGCGTTACAAAACAACGGTGTTAGTAACTGCATTACTTTTTGGTAACAAACTAATCTAACTAATTACTTTTCTCATTTCCGTAACGCCGTTATGACACGTTACTATAACAAGTTAATTTTTTAAAGTAACGTTCCCAACACTGGTTATAACAAAGTATTTTAGGGTCGTATATGCCTTCTGTCTGACCTTCAGCAGTGTGAGAACCTCTGTAAAACCACGAGGATTAGCAGTCTGCTGCCCTGGACCATGCAGGGCTAGAAAATAAAAGAATCCACGTTGTGCAATGGCCCAGTCAAAGCCCAGACTTGAGCCTTGGGACCTTCAGAAAGCAGGAACTAATTACTTTAAACCTCAAAAAACTGACAACAATTCAATTCAATTCAATTCAAAGATACTTTATTGATCCCCGAGGGGAAATTAGAATTCCAGTACAACCCATCCAAACATACATCATGACACAAGACAAGGGGGGGACGGGTCACCGAGGCTTT